GAAATTGAGAAGCTCAAACTTGAAGTAATAGATCATTTTAGAATGTATTTCTGTAGATGAACCCTGTCGTCCTCAATGACAATTCTACATAACCTTGTGTCATTGCATCATTACTCTAAACTCTATTAATTAAATAACTTGTTTTGGTTTTGGTGTGCATTTAGATATATAGTCCATTTGAGATTAGACTGAGAATAAATGCAAGCTCCTTATCACGACCTGTCAGGCCCCCATGGGATCTTCACCCTGCCTGCTTCATTAGCCTCATCCAGTACCCTCTGAGTCACTCTCCTCCAGCCACACCAGAGCTCCTCTGATTCTTGAACCTAAGCTCGAGCCACTTGTTCCCTTGGCCTGGAATACTCTGACCTTGGTTCTTCCTATGTCTCCTTCTCGTTCAAGTCTCAGCTCAAATGTCTACTTCTCCGAAAGACCTTCCCTGACTCCCTTATGTAATGTAGCTGCCAATCCTGCCCCTTCTGGCTCTTTGTTCCTATTCCATCCTTCTGTTTTATTTTCTTCCTAGCACTTGTCACCCTCTGAAGTTATTTACTTATTGATTTACTTTACTTATTAGCTTATCAGTGCTCTCCCTCCACTAGAGCATAAGCACCCTGAGAGCAGGGACCTAGTTTGTCTTGTTTGTCCTCCTTATCTCCAGCCCTGAGCCCAGAACTGGGAAGTGCCTGGAACTTTGGAGGAGCTCAGTCAATGTTTGCTGAGGAATTAATAAATGAATGAATGAACTAACATTATGTTGCCTCTTTGTACTTTTCTGTTATTTTTTTTATTTTTAATATTATGTGTACATAATAGTTATATATATTTATGGGGTACATGTGATGTTTTGATACAGGTATTTAATGTGCAATAATCAAATCAGGGTAATCAGGGAGTTCATTTGTTACCTCAAGCATTTATCATTTCTTGTTAGGAACATTCCAGTTCCACTCTTTCAGCTATTTTTAAATATCCAATCACTTATTGTTGACTATAGTCACCCTGTTGTTGTGCTGTCAAATATTAGATCTTGTTCATTTTATCTGACCATATTTTTGCACCCATCAACTATCCCACTTTATCCCCCACCTCCCCACTACCCTTTCCAGCCTGTTAACTGTCATTCTAGTGTCTATCTCTATGAGGTCAATTGTTTGAATTTTTGGCTCCCACATATGAGTGACAAAATGTGAAGTTTGCTTTATGTTTTAAATACGCTTCTTAACATGTTATTTGTTTATTGACAGATTGAGAAACTGAAAGCTGAATCTGGGAATCCATCTATTCAGCAGAAGATACGCTTAAAAGATAAAGCAGTTGATGCCAAAAAAATTCAGGACCTGGAGCGACAAGTATGTGTTAAGAGTAAATTTTCATTAAAGTATTTTATATACAACACATTTTTGTTTTCGGAGTTCACACAAGATGCAGTCAACCTGGAAATTCTTGTTTTAAAGGAACATTAATAAAAGTAAAAAATATTTTATGTAATCTACAGCTTTATAAATAATTTTTAGACTAATTTGCCTCATTTATGAGATGGTAGACCTACTAATGAAAGGTCATTTTGTACCCCAGTTCTATTCGACATCTAGGAAAAAGAAAGCAATATTTTGAAACTCTGGGT